AGGGACACCAAGTGTGCCATCCAAAGGGAGAGCAAAAGGCTTTCAAAATATCATCATTTCCCAGATACCGGCAAAAGAAGAACAGGGGAGAAGATCATTCCCATGGAGAAAAAAAAAATAATGAACCCACGATAACAACCATAACAATCAAAAATAGAAGTAGAAATTTGGACCATCGCCACCACTGAACTTATAAGCAATATATTCAACAAGCTGAGGGAGCGATGGGCTGAGTAGACAAATATTTCCAATAGAGAAAAAAACTCTTTTAAAACGTTTATCCAATGCATTTCATTTAAGCAAGAATTTAGAACACCATCCATGACCTTTCTTGCCAATGGATCTTAATTTGTGACAAATATAAAAACAAAGTTATCATTTAGGCTGGACATATGCGGTAGGCAATCCTAGGGACTTCATGGCTTGTATGAAAACTACTGTACCGTTATAACCACAGGTGAATAAAGCACGCTATGTTGAAGCCTACCTATAGATAGAGCAGTCCAATCAATAGCATGACCGTGAGAATCTCATACCAATCTATAAAATATATATATATAAAAAAATTGTGTAGCAAAGCCTAGTAGGTGGGAAACGGTGAGCTTCTTCCACTTTTCTAAGACTTAGGGGCTTTGTAAGTAGTCAACCTCTTCCAATCCCTCTAATCTCAACATTTCCTCCATCTCAAAAACTTAGGGGCATTGAAAATAGGATTTATGCAGGGATTATTGCTAATCCTGCCAATTGTAATTTAAGGACATGTCAAATCCGGAAGAAATAAATCTTTAATTTTCCTCCTTTTGTCCTAAATCCCGGATTTATTAAATCCGACCAATAAGAAAATTTCCATGATTTGGTAGAAGCAAGCAAAAGGGAAAGATGGTTATCTTCATAGCAAGCGAGCTCCCATCTTGACCTTCAATTCAGTAGGAAAAGCAACACCAACAAAGAAATGGATAAGATGAAAAGCAAACCCTAGCAAGCCTACCATCTAAATTAAAAATTCATCTAATTTAGCTTAATTAATATAATATAAAATATTTAAATAACTAATTAGATAATGATATAATTAAATTAAAATTTTATTAAAAACACACTTAACTAATTAATAGTACAACTAGAAATTAAATAATTAGTTATGAGTCTTTTTAAATTGTATTAAGATTGCAACATAACTACGATGAATCTTTTCACATCAAGTTGTTGGAAACACGTATCTACATTTTAAGATCAAATTCCTCTGCCATTTCATCTTAATAAACATTTTACAAGAGAGTTGTCTCAGGCATACCACCAAGGCCCAACATTGGTAGAAGAGAAATGTTGCTCTACATATTAGTGCCGATAAAATGAGTATGACGTTCATTTGATGGCTTCATCATCCACATCATAACAAACTCCTTGCCTTGACCAATCTGGTCATTTTTAGGCAATGATCTTGTTTCACATCTTTTGCGCAACTCACGTTGTTGCTTAAAGATGAAGGAAATTAACAACATCAGCAGAAACTTTATCAAGTTTCATCACAATCTCCTCCATTCTCTTCAAGCTGGGATCAATTTGAAAAATGCAGAGGGTGGTAAATATATAAAGGCTAAATGGGCTAAGAAATGATTGGGTTGTTGCAATGGCTATCAGGAATGTGGTAAGAGCCGAGGCCAGCCAAATGAAGCGGAGGCGCTCTACCCGGTTGCACACTGCTTGTAAGGGTAAGGGAGAAGCAGAATAGGGGTAACAAGAGTGTGCCATCCAAAGGGAGAGCAAAACGGCTTCCAAAATAACATCATTGTCCGTATACCAGCAAAGAAGAACAGGGGATAAGATCATTTTGAACAACATCAAGCCTATATCCCACTATGTGGGGTCACTGGTCAGCTACATAAATCCTTTTTTTCTCCATTATGTCATATTAAGAATCAAATTCTCATTTAAATCTAATAAAAAAATGTCATTTCTAATATTTTCTAACCAAAACATTTTAGTTATACCTATACCTTTCTTAATATAAGCAACATCTATGACCCGGAAGGTCATTTTATTTGACAAAGCCATCTAAAACAACTCTCTCTACTCTTACATGTCAGTGGAGCTACTCTAACATTTCTAGTACATGCTTGTTTTGCATCATGTCTCTAAGAGTAAAGCCACTCATCCACCTGAGTATCCTCATCTCTGCCACACTTTAACTTAATTTTATGCTTCACTTTTAATGGCCAACATTCTGCACAACAAAATAAATAAATAAAAAGATCCAATGAACCCACAAAATTTGGAGCATTGCCGCCACTATAAAATTTGGAGCATTGCCACCACTATAAAATTTGGAGTAATATAATCAACAAGTTGTGACATAGCTCGCATTTGGGCTCCAATAAAATGAAACCACATAATTTGTACACACCCTTCATACAACTTGTACACAGGGTATGTATAAGTAGAATTTACACACCCTTCATAAATCTAGCAAATTAGACCTCGAAGAAGTCAAATCATTGCAGTGCCTTCCATATTCTTTGTCCTTTACTTCCATCAAGTTCATAAAAGTATTCTACTCCAAAAACAACCAGACCTCCCTCCCAGTTTGTTTTCCTAAAAATTTTCGAAAAAAAACGTAGGAATCTTTTTTTGGGGAAAATTAAGGGCAAAGCCAATTTTCATTGACGAAAAAAGACTAGTTACATGTGTAAGAAAGAAGAGAAGAAAAGTAAAATTGTTGGGTGGAGCCACTACCAGAGGCTAAAAGTGCTCACCAAAATAGTGCAAAAATAAAGTCATACATGTCAAAAAGTGATCAAAGAGAAAAACAGCCGGTTAATGCAGTGAAAGATCAGCCACAAGAAGACTGAAGAATAGAGCTCAGGTAAGCTAGAGGTTGCATCCAGGTAGCCATAAAACCGTCCCTCGGTTGCGGAATTGCCATCCAATAGAAGTTGCATAAAAACCGTCATCCTAGGGGATAAGGAATGAAACCAATTCATCATTGCCCCCCAATCGTCAAATTCAAAGACAGAACAGAGAGATGCATGCCGCGGGGAAGAACCCCAAAATAAAACAAACAGTGATGAGGACATCGAAGATCATCGGCTACGATCGTGTCTATTTATTTTGATGTATTTGTTATTTGTACTTTTCCATTTCTACCCTCACTTGAGGGCTTTGTTTTATGTTTTTCATAGGGGTAATTTTGTCTTTTATTTTCCTTCATGTATTTGGCTATTTAAGCCCTCCCCTTCCTCTTGGAAAGGAATGATGAATATTGATATGAAAATTTTGGTTTTGGATCTCTTTGTGAGTTCTGGAGTTCTCTTTGTGAGTTCTCAAGTGAGGAAAGCCTAGGTGAGGCTCCACCCGAAGTACCCAACAGCCACCTTGGTGAGCTCTTGGTTTTCTTTTATTTCTTTTGCTGTTTTCTCCTTCCCCATCAACCCTCATCTACCCGACCCTGCTTTTTCCCCTTCATCCCATCTCCCTGCAGCCGTCCCCACCAAAAGCCCCAAGAAACCCCGCCGACTCCCCCACCCGCCCCCCTCATTGCCGCCGGCCGTGCCTGCCGCCGGCCCAACCAGCCCACCGTCTCTCCCCCTGACCCGGCTCCTCTTCCCTGGTAACATCCCGCCGGCCCCCTTCCTCTTGAAATTTGAATTTCATGCTTTAATTCCTTCATTACTTCTTTCCTAAAATGACTCACTACATTTAGGAATAGATTTAAATGAGATCCCATATGTTTTGAATTCAAATTTCAAATCTCCCTAATTAATTAAAATCTGAAATTTAAAATCAGGTTTTAATTAACTCCATGGGCCCCACTAATTAATCAACTTCCCTCTCTTTCCCCATTGCTTGGCCGGCCCCCATCTAGCCTATTCTCTCTCCACTTTGCCACCTAAGCAACATTTAATCCCCCCCTAATCCCTCTAGTAACCGCCGGCCCCATTACTTCCTTAATTAAGTTAATTTGAATTTCAAATTGGCCCCCATCCTTTTAATAAAATCTGAAATTAAAACCTCAGATTTTTCCCACCAATTCCACTTAACTTGTTCAGATTTCTAATCCTCACACCAAGCCCCTCCTAGCTCAAGCAGCCCCTTCCCTCTTCAAGGTGTTGTCCATGATTTTCTGGACATACGAATTGCTGTCCAGAATTTTCTGGGCATGCAAAACTGCTGTCCTGAATTTCTATTGGCTGTCCTGGAGATTTCGGTAAGTTGAGCTGCAGCCCTGCTCTCCAGAAACCCTCATGTTTGCTGTCCTGAAGAATCACAGCTGTCATTCCAAGATTTCAGCAGTTCAAGTCATCCAAGAAGCTGTCAAGCACCACTTACTTCCGATCCAACCAACAAAGCACCACCGGAACGTTGTATTACTTCATTTCTTGGGTGAAACTCTTTCCCTAACGCTCTTATCTTCCTAGTTACTTTTCGTTTATGGTTATTAATGGATCCATGAAGATCATGTTAATTATTCGTCGCTAGAGCCTAGTAATTAGAAGAGTTGAGTGCGGGATCTCCTCGTAGTAACTAGTCTTATTGTTAGTATTGGAATTTATTGTTGGAACGATCCATGTATGCAATGTCGGATTAAGTTGGCTATCTTTTGAACTTAACTTTTATTCATGTGATTTAACCTAAGCTAAGTGCCACTTAATAGTTATTTTATCGTTCAATTCCGCATAAGATCGTGCTTATTATTGCCTCTAAATCTAAGCGTGCAAATTTTTTAAGCAAATCATTTTCGCATGAATTGTTCTACATCAAACAGCCTACGAGAAGAACGAAGAACCAGGAACCAGAATTACAGCAGAAGCATAAATGTTACCCCATTCTAAGAACAAATTCATAAAGTTCCTCTTGTCAGATTTTCAAGTTCTTAATTTACAAAGCTTATTCAAAGCTAATTCAATTTATATAATAAATCATGCATCTTGTATTATATTTCATATTCAATATGGAACTTGCCAAAAAAAATATTTATTGACCAAAACATTAAAAAAAAATTATACCAATATCCTTCAGCCTTGTCTCCATTCCAGGGCAACTGAATGACACCCGCTGCAACCTACATTCAGACCAAATCATCTTTATGAAACTTATGACCTTGTCCTAATGTGCTACAAAATGCAAAAGAAAAAAATGTAAATATTTTAGTAGTAATTATAAGTAAATTCAAAACTTCTTTTCATCAAAACTGCACCGATGACCTTTTCTGGCAATAGAGATCCAGAAATCTTTTTAACACACTCCAAATTTGGATTTCTATGATAAATAATTAAAAGTAAAATAAATTCCCCATTGAGGCCCCCTCTCTCCTTGTCTGCAGTCCACTGAGTTACAAAAATCTTACTTCCCAAACTTCTATAAGCCAAAGAGAGGAGCACATTTTCCTATTTGATTTTGTCATACCAGCAAATGTAATGAAGGATAAGAAATTATTAGATATAACCTCAGACATACAACTCTCTTGATGTGCATCAAAGTGATTCCAAAACAGGCCTATTTTTTTAAGAGATTCCAACGTAACTGTAATGACTTTTTTCCCATCAAGTTTTTGGAAAAACAAATCTACATTTTAAGATCAAATTCCCGTCATTTCATCTTCATAGACCTGATGCAAGAGAGTTGTTTTCCCCATACCGTCAAGGCTCAACATAGCAAGAAGAGAAATGTTGCTGACCATAATAGCTCTGATAATGAGTATGATGTTCATTTGACGGCTGTCTCTGTTGTGGATGAGGAGTGAACACCACAATAAAGAATCAAGCAAGAAAGTAAAAGCAGTAAAAAAATAAAAAATAAAAACACCAGGACTTAATGTGAAAAAACTCAAAATAGGGAGAATTTAACATGGAAAGGGACCAATAATTTGCCATCAAAAGATCACCACAAGATCAAATAGAAACAGACCAATAATCTGCCATCAGAGGAAGGCAGCTAGACCCATAGTGCAGGGATTCTCGGTTGCCAAGAACATTTGGGGGCTGTTTGGTAGCAGGATTTTGAGATAAATGCACCAAACGCAAAAATTGAACATCTTAAAGCAAATTAAATCCTCCATTTCCTTCCTTTTGCAATAAGTTTCGGATTTACTAAATCCTATAGTCCGGCAAATTTGCATGACTTTCGCAGATTTACAGGACTTGGCAGATTTACAAGACTTGGCCAATCTGAAAAAGAAATTTCTCAATGAAGCAGCCACCGATCTGAAAAAGAGAACATTTCTGATGAACATCCTACCTGATATATCATCAAAGAATTATCTTGATCGGGCACAAATCTGGAGGGAAAATCAAGTTAGAAACTTCCAAAATTAAAATTGGGACCATCCAAACTCCGATTTCAGCAAACTTACAGTCGAACTAAACGTCTCGAAAATACGAACCCAACAACACCAAATTCGACACAATCCGAGCCCAAATGTATCCAAATCAAGGACCCAAACATTGTTGGAAGGTTCAAACCACAATTTGGATTACCAAACGGTTTCCAAACATGACATGCACCAGCATTGAGTACCTGCAAGATCAAGTCAAATGGGGAACTAAACATATAAATGAGCTCATCAATAAGTATACACCTTGAAAATGTGATAGATGCCATGGAAGTTTGCCGTGCCAAGTTATGTGGATAGAGGAACCTCATGAATTTGTCCTTAGAACAAGGGAACATTGTGTCGAGGAACCTAACAAATTTGACCTTAGAAAGATCATCAACACCAGCATTGAGTACCTGCAAGATCAAGTCAAATGGCAGACCGGCAGGAAACACAAGCTACAAAGACTGAGAGACATCCACCCCAAGATCAAAGCTGTTGCCTTTGCTTCAATCCAAGCACCGATCAGAGATAGAAAACCAGCTCTCCAAGAATGGCTATGGCAGCTATGAGATGCCCTTGATAAGGCAGACAATGTGCTCAATAAGTTTGAGTACATGAAGCTTATAAAACAGTTGATCAAAAACAATAAGCAAACAAAGCAAGTAAATTAAAATAATAATAATAATAAAATGTTTCTTTGAATATTTTTCTGTTTCTGCTAGCAAGCTTCCCTATCTTCTAATGAATTGATGATATTAAAGTCCACATGACGTCACATGCAGAAATGCATAGCTCCCTACCACTTAATATTCTTGCTTTTTCACAACTCATCAAAATTTATAGTCAGCAAGCATCATTAATTGCATTAACCACAATTAAGTGAAGTGTTCGCTACTTGAAAAACTCATGCGTTACATCATGAAATCCATGAAGAAAAGACTTGTCAAATTTGGCAAACGTGCTCTCAAAATTGATCCCAACTTGAAGAGTCTGGAGGAGGTTGTGCAGAAACTTGATAAAGTTTCAGCTGGGGTTAGTACATTTCTTCAACTTCTAGATAGCGCAAAGCTGGAACAGCAGGACAAGCAGCGTGAGTTGTTCGAAGCATGTGAAACAGGTTCCTTGCCTACAAATGCTCTCATCGGTAGAGGCGAGGCTAAGGAGTTTGTTATGCAGTGGTTGAGGAAGCCATCAAATGAGCATCGGACAAGTTGGCACAGAAACATTTCTCTTCTATCTATAGTGGGCCATGGTGGTATGGGAAAGACAACTCTCTTGCAACATCTCTTTGAAGGTGAAACGACGGAGGAATTTTTTGATCCTAAATGTGGGTTTGCGTTTCCAACAACTTTGATGTGAAAAACGTAATTGCAGATATGTTGGAATCTCTTAAGAAGGAG